AGACTCAACATGGTGGCGGGCGGGGAGGCAGCGCTTTCAGTACCTCCTCAACCACTGGGACAGAGAGATGCATTATAACGTTCAGATTCTACCTGCTGAGAAACTCCTAGCAAAATTCCGCTGAAGTGAGACCTGCTGGGGAATTCTGGGATTATTGGAGGTGACAGTTTGCCCCAGATGGGTGAATCTCTGCCACGAGGCACAGAGGTTCCGGCCCGCTGCTGTTGCCTGGCGACCAGCACAGTAGGAGGCGGTTCAGCAAGGCGCTGCGTAGAGACCCTATGAAGAGGTTGCTAACCAAGCCTTCATGAAACAGGGAACCAGAACTGAAACCAACTGAGACTGGGTCAGACCAGTGACAGGCCAGACCCACCCCTCCCACTGGACACTCCAGCAAGGCATCTGGGGCCTGCCATAGCAGAGAGCTGAAGTCACCTGAGTTCAGCGAAGGGGATCCCTTCCCAGCTGAATTGGCTTTAGCAGGTGTGTGACTCCCACCCTCACCAGATACATACCGCTGGGAAACCTCAAAAATCTCGCCCCAGAGCTCCGTGGGCGTGACTGTAGGGGCTGAGGGAAGCAGAGGGGACTCCCGACCCCCAACTCTCACTACTGCCAGTGATGTGGGCATGACTGTAAGGACCGAGGGCAGCAGACGGGATTCACGATCCCCAACTCCCCCTACCACCAGCGGTGACACCCAAGGTCTTAGGTGCCAGTTCCCGGGGGCGAGCACACGAAAGAGGTCGGGACAAATTAAACTGTCGGTTTTCAGATCACCGCTCCACAGCCCTGGGGTTTGGATGAATGACAGAGAGAGTGCTCAGTCATTCGGGAAATAGGGCACACAGTGGGGCTGCAAGTGTAACCAGATCCTTGGAGATCGCCTCCAGTGAGTGGGGGTCTGGCTGGCTGGCAGGAGGAAGCGGGGTAGGGGCCAGAGAAGAGAAATGGCTCTGGACTAACAGGATTGGAGAGATGCCCAGGAGCCGCCTTATAAGGATGGCTGCTGGCACATAGAGGGCAGAAGCTCGGCTCAGAGGGCACAGCTCCGCCTACTAGAAGAGAAGAAAATAGAACTATAAGACTTCATTTTTTTTCTTTTCTTCCTTCTTTCTTTTCCCTTTTCAATTTGAATTGTTCTTTCCATTTTCCTATTCTACCTATCTTTCTCTCCCTCTTAATCTTTAAGAACTCTTTCCTTCCCCTTCCCCCTAACTTTCATCCCATGAATTACGTCTTTCATTACGTGTAATTTTCTAAATGCAAATAGGTGATTGCTTTGAGGCTGTCTATAGGGCTCCTAAATACCTAGCTATTACCAAATACCGTGACCCAATCGCCTATTAATATCCCCCTTCAGTAGAGCAATCTTCCAAAGTAGACAAGACATACTAACCCTCATGCCATCATAGCACCTAACCTAAACCTAAAGTCCTAAGACCAAACAACAAATTACTATATGCATACAGAATCAGTAAATCTTTTATGAATCGTAAGACTTAGCTTTAAATTACAATAAAGCCCAACATTTCTAGGCATAGTCTCCAACCACAAAGGAGAGACCACAGAGATATAAAAAACCAAAACAAATTTATAGGAGAAAACAGAAACACAGAAGTCAAAAGGAGTTGGAAAGTAACGGGAACACCATGAAAAAACAAGGGAAAAAGGATTACAAACAATGCAGGACAAGTTAAATTTACAGGAGAACCTAGAGGCATCAGAAAAATGGACACAGAAAGAACTCAAGGCATACCTGACTCAGATGGAATGGAATCTTAAAGAAGTCATTAGACAGCAAGTCCAAAAAATGAAAGAATACTTTAATGAATTGCATAAGCAGATTCAAATAGCAAAAATGAACTCTACCAGGAGATAGAGATTTTTTTTAAAAAAATCAAAGAGTAATCCTAGGAATGCAGGAAACCATAAACCAAATTAAAAACTCAAATGAGAATATTATACATAGACTAGATCAAAGAGAAGTCAGAACATCAGACAATGAAGACAAAGTTTATGAACTCGAAAAGAATATACTCAACACAGAAAGGCTGGTAAGAAATCACGAGCAAGGCATCCAAGAGAGAGTCACCGCCTGCGCCTGCAAGGTAGGCAGACCTGCGACGGACCGGCAGAGCAGGCCTAGCGGCCCGCCGGCGTGGTAGATATGTCACCCCAATTGGAGGAGGGGCAGAGCAGAGCCACCGCCCCTGCCTGCAAAGTAGGCAGACCTGCGACCCACCAACAGAACAGGCCCAGTGGCCAGCAGGTGTGTAGACACATCACCCCAATTGGAGGAGGGGCAGAGCAGAACTGCCGCCCGAACCTGCAAGGTAGGCAGACCTGTGACC